AACAAATTTGTACATTTGATTTGATCAAACTCCTAATTTAGACATTTCTGCAGGTAAACATAGAAAAAATATCTGTCTACTTTGTGTTTGATTGAATCCATCACATTAGTGTCTGCATAAATTCTTTGAATAAGAATATCTTCCTCAGCTGAGACAACAAAATCACACCAGTTCATCCCAGTTATTAGCATCTGCCCCTGAACCTGCCAATAGTAAACATGAGTTTTTTTTAGTTCCAATTTGCCTGACTTCATTTGGAGATATGGACAGTCAACATAACTTTTCACATTTGGACACTTAATCTCAATCAGCCCGAACTGACATGGCTCAGAAGGATCAAAGATCAATCCGTCTGGAGATGCCCCTAGCCAAGGAGCATCAGGGTGAATCACAAATCCACAGGGATAGTGGTTGACTCTTTTAATTTGACAATATTCCCAGATAGCATCTGCCTCTAATTCAAGCCCTCTCTTCATAGCTGCAGTCTGATAGGTCCCTTGCAGCAGACGATTTGCCAGATCTTCCTCAGATTTATCTTGAACCTGGCAGATCTCCCTGAAGCGGGAGGCAGTCAACCTATGCCTCCTTAGCTGATGCCATTCAGGACATGTACTCTGTGCTCTGGTAGCACATTCAAATTTATTCACCATGTCCCAGGTGACCTCCATACTTTTAAGGTGTAGCTGTTGTGGTTCAGAACAAACAAACATGCTTTTTGATGGCTGTAGGTGGTAGTTCTTAAGAGGCAGAGATGGGCGGGGTGGTGCAGCATGGAAGGACATGTCTCTCTTTGCTGTTGCTGGCTGTTGGTAGGACAGAGGACTTCCAGCCTGAACTTTGCCAAGGGCAGAGTCAACAAGGGGAAATTCATGGCTGATTCCCATGCTGCAGATCATTGGTGCATCAGCTGCTGCAAAATCTTCATACACCTCGGAAACCTGGGAAAGTGAAAACAATTATTTCAATAAAATGTAAAATACATGTATATCAACTAATTTTAAGCCCTCAAAAATTCTACACTTTACAAAGAGACAGCACTTGAAAATAAAATTATTCAATACACCGGTAAGTCTACAACTCTTTGTTAGTACATTGTAGCCTACTGTTAATTTCATTTTTATTTATCAGTAATTTAAATACAACTACTTACTCTAAGGACAGAAAGGTCCGGCAAATCCCCACTAAGGCCTTTGTAGAGTGTGCTCCTGTGTATAAAAATAAGAAAAGAACATGAGTCAAAAATAGAATACCCACATGCATTTCGTTCAGATATGAAACATAAAATAATAGTGTTTTTCAAGCCTGGTCCTCAAGGCACACTGTCCTGCATGTTTGAGATTTGTCCCTGCTTAAACACAGCTCATTTCAGTTGGTAACTGATTAACAACTGTATCAGCTGTGTTAATGCAGGGAAATCTATAAAGCATGCAGAGCAGTGTGCCTTGAGGACCAGGGTTGAGAAACACTGTTGTAATACATCAGAATTTTTATTGATTTTTTTTTACCTTACACCCTCTGTTGTTGCTCCACTCTTCGGTTTAGCAGACAGCACAGTCATCTTGTCCACGGGGCCAGGTTTTATACCCTATTCAGTTATCCATGACACAGTTACAAGTTATACGGCAAGAAAATGTAATAAATTGAGTCTATTATTGAAGAGAAAACTTACTAAAGTTCTGGGCTTGTGCCACTGCTGTTCTCCTTCTGTACAGCTTAGTACAGGGGGGACCACTGACAGTTTCAGCTCAGAATAATGTGCTGACTGGAACAGCAAAGCCACACAGTGGTTGCATAATGCTGCACCAGCAACACACGTACAGCTGTGGTGAATCAGCTCCACAGGACACGAGTCTTTCAGGACCACCTGCATAAGAATGTCATAGTAAGAACTTATTATCTTAGCTTGGTCACTCATCAGCCATTCTTTCATGATGCAATCTTGCTTCCCAAATATTTTTTTATAACTAATGTCATAGAACCATAGTATCATGTTATGTGATTATATATTTAGTTTGGAGTATGTTCTATGAAGGTCAAGAGTAGTGTAATACAATTATCACAAGATTACATCTTAAATGAATGGATGAGATAAAGATAACTTGATTTCAAAACACTTTTAACCCAGAGGAGACCCGCTAGGTAAAAATACCTGGATAATGTTACAGAGACTGTGAGTGTATTCTTTAGATTTAAGTAAAACTAATATGCATGAATTACCAAATTAACACTGGGTTAAAAGTAACACATAACAACCATAAAAGAAGAACAATGCATGCAGCAAATAACCAAATGGGGACAAGCAAGGCCAAACTCACGTGTTAATATTCATCAAATAGCCAATTCCATTTTATTTTTATTTAAGAATTAATTACCACCTTAGCTAAATCCCCATTAACATTAGGAACGTCGGGTTACTGAACCAACAATCTTAAAACTGTCATCTGAACAATCCTATCTTCACCCTACACTTAAACTGTGAGGTTTTTCATTTTTCTTCATGGACCTGTGACACAGAGCCCTGACAACGACTTCACCTGTGTCCTGATTTTTGCTAGAAACTGAGAAGAGCAGAATGTTAGTAGAATGATCACAAAATATGAGCCTTTTGTTTAAGTGTGGAAAACCTGTTTCTATAACGTGAGTATACACAAAAATGGTCGTGTTGCTAATAGCCTAACGTTAGCTGCAAACAGTTAGCAACATCACAACGATCAAACTAACGTTACTTACCCTCGTAGTTGTGCAGGTAACTTGAGATATACAATTTAAATCCCTTGTTACGTTTGCTTGTCGGAGCAGGGGACCAGCCATCAACAATACGATGAACATCGCTGATATTTATCTTGGGCAGCTCTTGTAAACATCTAGAAAACGCCATTTTCACCGAGACCGGGGATTAGACCGGAAACTGGAATGCCGACATCCGGTCAAAGGGGAAGTGATTCAGGACGCATGTGCACAGAGCCTATTATGTGACGATGCTGTGCCCTTTCTCCACCAAAAGACTGTTTGACGTCAGAGCTCAATGCGGTTGATGACGTTGCCCATGCTGCCTTCGGAACATTGTTGTAAGAATCAATGCACCTGATATACAACCTTGGCTACCTATTTTGGTTCGGGGGAAGAAATTTACTTCATAGTGGACTTAAATGCAGTAATTGTTTGTTTAATCATCTGTTTGTAATGCGTGCTGCTTGAACAGTTCAGGAACAGTTTGAGACCATCAGTTCTGCGATGGTGAAAATGTCGACACTTTTTGTCGGTCCCTAAACGCAGCATCTTAGCCCTGCCGACCCGGCTGGAAGACAACCCTCGCCAACGATGCTATGCTCTTCATAGATGAACCGGGGGTATAGGTACATTTTGAATACAGCGGTCTCCAAGGAGAAGTTGTGCCTTCTTTATCTTCACCGCTAAATTTCCACAGTCATCCCTCAAAGAGCGGGGCTACCAGAAGACGACCGGGACTTGATGTATCTCGGAGAGAAGCTGCTCGGCGAGGTGAGCTGCGCTGAACACAGCAAGCTGCAGGAACTTTAGCATCATGCTAAGTAAAGCTAGGAGTCTGAAGTTTGAAACAGATTCTCAGAACTTCTGCGACCGGTGCTCTGTTTGGTTGTTAAAAGTTAGTTTTTATAGATTATTTTGATATTCAAAACTGTAACAGATAACATCAGCGTCATAAGTTAACAATTGTAAATCAATGAACATCGTTCTAGCCAGTGCTAATGCTAGGCTAACATGATTCTGCCCGCACCGGGCCCGTTTGATAGCAGACCTAAACTTGCTCTTCTAACTTTTATGTGGAGACAGGACGCCTGTTAAGAAGCTGGGTTTAATTGGCATTAAAAAAAAACAACACATCTAATATTGCTAACAAGAAGAAGCTGCACATTTGGACAATTTAGTTTGTAGGATAGTTCTGCAGCCTCCTGTCAAAACAAGCCGTCGTTCATTAATGAGCGAGCACATGAATGAATAAAAGTTCTCCACATTTTCAGCTACTGTTAATATCAAAAGACCCATTTTTGCCCCTTCTTCCATTACGTTTGCAGCACAATAAAATGTATTTGAAGCTTTAAAATCTATCTATCTATCTATCTATCTATCTATCTATCTATCTATCTATC